TCTCTCGGCAACTCGATCGATCCTTGGTCACCGTCGTACCGGCCCGCATCGGTGCAACGACAAGAAGGGGAATACAGTACGCCGCCACCAAACCATTTCCACACCGGTCTTGCCTCCCGCGTTTAAGCCCAGCTCGGTCCGTCAACCAGCAGCGCGCAGAGCTACCAACAGGGCTGTTGGGCCAAACTCGCGACAATGGGCGACGGCGGTACCGGCGCAGAGGATGCCGGCAGCACGGCGCCGACACAGACGCAGGCGTTGCAGGTCATTGTGCTTGTAAGTATTTTTTTCTTCTTTTGTACTTTTCTAATTCCAGACACGTTCTTGTTCTCCAATCAGCGGACGCTGCCGGGAATATCGGGTCCATTGGGTTTCGCAGCATGTCTCGCCAGGCTTGGATATGGGGCTGCCTTGACCAATCCCCACAAAGTCCTTTGGTTTCTCGCCAGTCTTTGATGGTGATGGGTTACTTGCACGACCTTTGCCGATTGTGATATTGTCCACCCATACGGCGCACCAAGTGGTGACATGGGAGCAGTGCCAACTATCAGGGGCGCACAAGTTGCTTTAACCCTTGTCCAGCTGTGTTAGCACTGGTGTCTCATACTCACAGACGTGATCATCTGCTGTCGACAAGGCTCTGCTATGGAATTTCTCCGGACTAGCTATGCTTTTTTCACATTTATCATTACAGGCTGGAAAGAATCTGGCTAGATATACCATGGCCAACACGCAAGAGCTGCCGTTCTAACAGTATAACCCATTCCTGCTGCTCAGGGCTCAGGTGGTGGACCAGATGAGTCCAACACGACAGCCTTCCTCGTGCGGTCCCTCGCCTCGGGCTGGGGCAAGGGGTGCCTGGTGGCGGTGGACGCGGGGGTGCACCTGAGCGCGATAAACCGCATCCTGGAGGCGACGCAGCCCCCGGGCCTGCTGGACGGCAGCGTGTCGGTGCCGCACAAGCTCGAGTCCGGGCCGTTCAAGGGCCTGGAGCTGCCGCACGCGAGCCCGGGGGCCAACGCGGCGCACGTGCTGCGGACGCTGGTGGACGCCTACCTCATCACGCACCCGCACCTTGACCACATCGCCGGCTTCGTCATCAACACGGCGGGCCTGCCGGGGACTCGGCCCAAGCGGCTCGCGGGCCTGCCGTCCACCATCGCCGCCTTCAAGGCGCACATCTTCAACAACGTCATCTGGCCCAACCTGTCGGACGAGAACAACGGCGCCGGGCTCGTGACGTACAGCCGGCTCGTCGAGGGCGGCTCCCCGGCCCTCGGCGACGGCGACGGCCGCGGCTACCTCGAGATCAGCGACGGCCTCTCGGTCAAGGCCTGGGGCGTCTCGCACGGCCACTGCATCGAGCGCCACAGCCACCGCGGCTCCGCCAGCAGCAGCGCCACCCGCTACCCCAGCTTCGACGCCTCGCCCTTCTCGGGCTCGTCCATGGGCGCCGTCGGCATGGGGGGCCTCATGAGCGGCCTGATGAGCCCGCGCTCGCTGGCCCGCCACAACTCGACGGCGCCCAACCTGGCCGTGTTCCTCCAGCAGCAGGCCGCCGCGCGGGCCAGC